GCCCTCTCTACTGCTCAGTTATATGATTTACCAAAACACTGGTCTCAGCACAGTTCAGGTGAAAGCCATCCCAGTGATACAGCTCCCTCTTTACCTAGTACTAATCCCACTGCCCCATAAATCAAAACCCATTTCTACCATAACATTTTTGAGCCTTGCATCCATCCTTCTAAATCTTATTTATCCTGTACCAGTTGACATAGATTGTAAATATCTGAGGTCCCAACACCAATCCTTACAACAGTCCGTTGTCCTTGGCTGTTACAACAAGAAAAATGATTTTGAACTGTTTTAGTTGAGAAACTGGAACAATACAGACCTGTGAAAATGGTGGTAATTGTAAAAACAGGACACAAGTGGTAGCGTAACAGAAAAACTAAGGAAGGGTGGTGGTGTGATGGTATTGTCACTGAACTAGTAATCAGAGGCCCAGGCTAATGCCCTGAATACATTGGTTCCAATCCTAACAAGGCAGTGGGTGCAATTTAAATTCAATAAATCTGTAATATAAAGCCTGTCCCAGTAATGGTGACCATGAAACTATTATCCAGCTATTTATTTATCCATTATTAAATTCAAGGAGGCTTTGAAAGAAGGGAAGGAGGTGAAGGGGCAGATTGGTTTGTATGTTACAAACCTACAAGGTGATGCTGAGATACTAAAGATTTGCAAACAATGGACAAATGCCACATGATCAAAACAGCACACAAACAGAGTTGGCATGGCAACACCACCAAGGTTAACTCTATACTCCTTCACAAGAAATAGTTTCTTTGACAACATCTAGAATAAAACCAGTTTCAGCAGGATATTACCAATTACCTGTATGTGGATTTGACAGTACAAAACCAGATTCTCTCTTAAGGTTTGACATCAATGCATTGCTCTCGTATTCGGACTGATCAGAATTTTAATGCTTATACCCACAGCCTGGTGGAAACATAACCAAGGTCATACAAGCATTGGAATGTGTTTTGCATTAAAGATTAAACTCCTCAGAAGTTATGTCTTGTGAAAGAAAATCAAGGTGTTTTGTTTGCATTCATCAGAACAGAAATTATTTGCTTTAGTTTTTCTCCAGTTACAATTTTTTAAAAAGGCAAGCTTTCCACTTGGCATAGCTTAGAAATATATACTCTTCTGTAGATGTTTATCAGAGAATATTCATTAAGGAAGGCAGACAGAATGCGAGACCACGCAAAAGCAGTCAGGACAGTTGTTTTATGTTCCCCTTGAGCACTTTTTCTAAAAAAAAAACAGGGTGCACCGACTACACCAGTAGCAATGGAGGTTATGAAGGGTGAATAGTCATCCAGGCCTTCGGCAAACTTTAACCTTCAGCATTTGCCTGGTTCCTGCCTTTTTGAGAGGCATCAAAGAGAGCCTTTGAAAGCTAGTACAAATACAGAAACTATTTTTTAAGCTTCACTTCACAAAACTTTGCCCATTGATGAAGAAAGTGAATGCACGACAGCCAAACTTTTGGTTAACACTAAAATAGTTGGGAAAATAAGCGGTGAGGATGACTCAAAGAGTCCGCAGATGGGACAGGTTAAACAAGTGGGCAAAACCTTGCCTGATGTAAGATAATATAACAAAATGTGAGCTTATGCACTTTGGCAGGAAGAAAAGAGGAGTTGTATGTTATTTAAATGGAGACACTCTGTTAAAAGTTCCTGAACGGAGGGATTTGGGAGACCTTGTGCACAAATCACAATGAACAAACATACATGATCAGCAGGCAATGTGGAAGGCAAAGGAAATGCTGGCCTTTACTTCAAAGAGTATGGAGTATAAAAGTAGGGAGATTTTGCTAAAACTATATAAGGCATTAGTCAGATCGCAGCTGGAATACTGGAAAGAGTTCTGGGCCCCTTATCTAAGGAAAGATATACTGGCATTGGAGGCAGTCCAGAAAAGGTTCACCAGGTATGCAAGGACTGTTTTATAAGAAGAGATTAAGTCAGTTTGGAATGTAAAAGAATGAGAGGTGACCTTATTGAAATATGCAAGATATTTATACGGCTTGACGTAATAGATGCTGAGAGATTGTTTCCCCTTGTGGGAGAGTCTAGGACCAGAGGGCACAAATCTCAGAGAGAGGGGTCACTCGTTTATAAAGATGAGGAGGAATTTCTTTTCTCAGGAGATTAGTAAATCTGTGGAATTCTTTACTGCAAATGAGTGTAGAGGCTGGATCATGGAGAATATTCATGGGTGAGACAGACAGATTTTTAATCTGTAAGGGAATCAAGAGTTACAGGGAAAAGGCAGAAGTGGATTGGAGATTATCAAATCAGCCATGATCTCATGACTTGATAGGTTGAATGACTTTTATTTGCTCCTATGGCTTATGATCTAGCAAAGGAGTAGGCCATTCACCTCACCATGTACATGCAGCTCTTTGAAAAGGTTATCCAATTAATCCCACTTAGTTCTTTCCCCATAGCCCTACAAATATTTCTTCAGTTCCCTTTTGAAAGTTACTGGTGAATTTGCTTCCACTGACCTTTCAGACAGCATGTTCCGGATTACAATTCATTGCATAAATAAGTTTTTCTTCATGTCATGCGTGGGTCTAAATCAGAGCTTTATACAATGACTTCATGTCTTATACATGACTTCCATCTCCTCCCGTTATCGTTTTAATTCCTTTTTTTTTAAATAGTTGATCACTAGCTTTTAATTATTTCTATGCTTGGACCCCTAAATCTATTTGCTCATTCACAATTCTATGCTTCTTAACCCCAGACCCAACATAATGATTTCACTACAACAGCTGAGTTGACATGCCCAATAACACCAAGGATTCCTAGCCAGTACTGAGTATTTGGTCTGACTGCAGGTTCTGAACAAACAAAAATCATTTTGTAGACAATTATAGGTACTTCCTATAATATATTGGCCAAACTCATATCAAAAGATAAGTGGCTGTTTTATGACAAGAATCAAGATGCAACTAAATATCAATTACATGAGCCAAGCAGGGCTGCGGTTACCAGCTCTGCACTTTAATATTCAAGGGACACCGTACACATTTTTTGAATAGCAAGTTAAATATTCACTTATTAAAAGTTAAGATGCCAGAATTGGAAGGAAGGAAATGCAAGATTGAAAGAATTGTTTCTCTTCTGCAATAGTTGTTTCAGTTCACAAGCCAACATCCAAATATCCATTAACATTTAGTAAACACTGAGTTACAGATATTTAAAACAGAAGGATGGTTTAAATGTCTCATTTCTCAGCCAATGTCCAAAATGTAAAATCTCAGTTGCAAATTGTTTTGCATTGCATACACAAGGAATCAAAGGAACATACTGTGATTTAAATTGATACTTTTTTAAAAAATATTCTTTTTATGCTTGTGTTTTGGACTTTGGGTGAGTGACATATAAGTTTTCTGTGTGACTGAAGTTAATTATTAACTTGTAAATAGTTATGTAGCTACAGCAATTTCTTTTAAAAGTTTGAGAGTTTCTTTAGCAGCATCAATAGGTTTTTGTATATCTTGTTTGTCTACCTTAAGATGTCTTATAACTTAGCAAGTAAACCAATTGTACTTTAAGGTATGTTAGAAATTTCTAGACCAAGACTTTTTAAAACTTATGGGAAAACACCCATAGCTTGGTTTATCTTTGTTTTTGAAAAGTACTGAGAAGATCTTACTGAGGTAAGCGGCACAGCAGATGCTCCTGACAAGGGAAGAATGTCGTAAGATTCGATTTCCTTAGAGTAAGGAGTTACTGATAGTCCCAGATATACTAGGATGAAGCCATAGAAGTTACTTGAACCGGAGTACATTTAAGGTCACGTGTACAATAGCTCCAGGAAGAAGATATCATTGTTTCTAGACTCGAAGTTCAAGTCACAGTTACCTTAAGCCTACTGATACGTTAGGAGATAATTCATTCCTCTGGTCAGAGTACTGAACAAGGAATGCTTTTTGGGATTTCCGTTTGGACTTGGAGTATTTTGGGTTTAGTGGGATTATACTTTTACTATGTATTTAAAACTCTTTGACTTTGTGTTATAAGTAAATGTTTTGGTTTATTTTGTTTTACACTCATTTGTTGAGCTAATAAACTTCTGTTTTATCATGAAAGCAAAATCTGTAATATTGCATGCTTATATCACAGTGAGAGATTAACTTATTAAAACCAAATTAAAACAAAATATGACAAAATCAAGTCGCATTTCATTTGGGATTAGAATTGTCAAATAATATCATCAGCTAGAATCATAACAACTGGGGGCTCCAGTCAGGATCTTTGAATTCACTGGAATTAAGAGGGATTGGTCCCTTTCTTGAAGTATTGTGGTTTTGAAGGAAGTAAGAGTGGATATCATAGAGTCATAAATATAATGGAGGTATGACCATAATCCCCACTACTTCTCAGACGTAGGTCTGATGTCAAACTTGAGAATTGAATATGTTACACTCTTGTTCCAAAGAGGCTGAAGGGATAAACCCTGCAACTATAAACCAGCCAGTTAAACCCTGGGTGGTGGAAAGGTTTTTAGAAATGACAATCAAGGACAACAGCAGAAAAGGAATATCAGCACAACATTAGTTAGAGACAAATTGAATTTAGGTAACTTGGTTTGAGTATTTTGATGAGGTAACAGATGTTCATGGAGGGTAACACAGCTTAAAAAATGGGACAAGTAGCAACATGGATATGAAATTGTGAAACATTTGCTCAACCAAGATCAATTTGTTTCATCTGTTCAATTAAAAACCAAGATTAGCACCCTCAAATGTCATTGACTTGTGCCAAAACAAAATCAGAGCACATCAAACACAATGAATAAGCTAACCTGCCTCAACTTTATCCAGTATATTCCCTCCTCTGAACTACTGCAATAACTTCCACAAGGTGAACAGGAAAGATATTCCAAATACTATGAAAGCGAGAGGTACATTTGCTCAAATGGATTGTGCAATTGGTACAGTTTTTAAAATTTTAGAAGAAAATCAAGTACTTGTTACATCTACTCACGTAGCTAATGGAGCCTTCATGTCCTTACTTTCACTTGCATACATTAGGGAAGATAATCCCTGCAGACGGTCTCCAGGAAACCCCAGTAAGTTGATGATTTTCAGCAGGTTAGGAGGTACCATTGATATACAAAGATGGAAAAGCCCATAGCCAAAGCTGACAGCACCTTTCAGTCTACTTAGTGACTCTTCTTGTAGAGATACAGCAGGAATATGGTTATCATTAGCCCGATCAGACGTCAGAGATTCCTGAGATCTTTTTTTATGCATCATCTGTAGTGCATCAATTTCTGCATAACACTTATTGTAAATTTTCCATGCTTTTCGGAGGATCCATCCACCTTTAATATATGCTTTAATTTGGAAGGAGAGAAACAGAAGCAACACTTACTTTTTCACCTCTATTGTGGCACAATTAAGCTAAATTGTCTAAGATCATCAAGAAACATTAAAGACCTGCTGGAGGAAGATGCATAGTAACCCTCTCATTTCCCCCACCACAAACATACACACACCACTAACCTATTTCGTATTTTGCACTCAGGGCAGGACACCATTTGATCTGTGGTGGCTAGCTAGTAATATGGCAAGAACGCTGAGAACTTCTGCATAGGGAAATAACGTGGAGGTGCCGGTGTTGGACTGGGGTGGACAAGGTTAGAAGTCACATGGCACCAGGTTATAGTCCAACGGGTTTATTTGAAATCACAAGCTTTTGGAACACAGATCCTTTGTCAGGTGAAGTGCAGAGAGGCACATAGGCACAGAATTGATAGCAGAGAGATCAAAAGATCGTACAAATGGTGTGAGTGGGGTGCCAACAGGTTGAATGATAAATCTCTGCGGGTGATTAAAAATGTCAGATGGGGTGTTAGTAAAGTGTCAATAGCTGAATAGCAAGTGCTTAGATGACCTATAATCCAATTCACTGAGACAGAGAGATAATTACAAACCAAACATAGACAAACCAGTTGGCTGGAAATAACACAAAGTAGGATAGTCTATCGTTGAATGTATTTAAAGCTGGGATGTTTGATCTCTTGGGAAATCAAGAGACATTTGGAGTGAGCAGGAATGTGGAATTGAAGCCTTGAATCAGCCATGATCATACCGAATGGTGGAGCATGCTCGAGGTGCCAAATAGTCTTTATTTCTTCCACTTCCTGAGATCTTATAGTTGCACGAGTATCCTTCCTAGGTGATAGATATATGCTTGACTGTAGACTAAACCAGTTCTTTCCATCAATAAATGGACTAGCCAAGTTATATCTGTATATAAAAAGCTACACAATCTAACTCCAATGCAAATGTACTGATAATCCTCTTTCCTCAGGCAGACTAGCAAGAACTCTATCGAGGTACCATGTTTAAAGCAGGAACATATAGAAAACATTAAAAGGAAATACTGAATATTGAGTCCTTGATTCTTTTATTTTCAAAGTACTAGTTAGAACTATTACAAATAGAATCTTTTGAAAGAATATCTAAATAACTTTTATGATCCTAGTTGATGGTATTACTGGGCAAGTCAGATCCCAGACTGAAATCTGGCTTGGTATATCATGTTTTGCTTTTCTTTTGTTTTAATTCTGTGGTCTTTTACTGAAACACAAATGTATTGCTGTAGATAACAAGGTGTAGAGCTTCAGAAGGGTCTAGGCCTGAAACGTCAGCCTTCCTGCTCCTCTGATGCTGCTTGGCCTGCTGTGTTCATCCACCTCTACACCTTGTTATCTCAGATTCTCCAGCATCTGCATTTCCTACTATTTCTGTAATGCTGTAGATTTGGTTTTAACAATGGAATAGAAGTTTCTCGTGTGAAAGAAATAAAATCAAAAACAGAATAAGCCAAACTGTTTTCATATAAATTAAGTTTCAAGATTTCAAAACACAGTAAAATACAATCCCATCAATCCCAAATGCACTCCTTTACAGTACCCACACCTCAGAGAATTCCCTTCTTATCACATCAAAGGGCTCAACTCAATTGTTGTTCCAATTCTCAATCTCAAGAATCATATAGCCTCTTTTTTGAATCTTCATTCAACTTAGCTTAGACTTTCTCAGTTTCAAATAATCCCTTCAGTATTTTAACCAAATAATTTTGGTCTGGAACTTTCAAACTATATTTCTTACAATTAGGCAACATATTTCTCAACTATTCTCACTTCATAGAGTCATTGAATTCCTACAGTGTGGAAGCAGGCCAGTCAGCCCATCGAGTCCACACAGACCCATCTCCCTACCCCATCCCCATAACCCTGCTTTTCCCATGGCTAATTGACCTAGCCTTCACCCTTCACATTCCTGGACACTATGGACAATTTAACATGGTCAGTCCACCTAAGCTGCATATTTTTGGACTGTGAGGGGAAACTGGAGCACCCGGAGGAAATCCATGCAAACACAGAGAGAATATGCGAACTCCACACGGACAGTCGCCAGAGGGTAGAATCAAACCGGGGTCCCTGGAACTGTGAGGCATCAATGCTAACCACTGAGCCACCATGCCACCTTCTTCAGGAGAAGCTATTTTATACATCCAACTTGAACCACAAACAAAAACAGATACAAACCGTTCTGAAGAAAGGTCACAACAACAACAACAACGTTGCTGGAAAAGCTCAGCAGGTCTGGCAGCATCTGTGAAGGAGAAAACAGAGTTAACATTTCGGGTCCGGTGACCCTTCCTCTAGTTCTGAGGAAGGGTCACCGGAGCCGAAAC